TTAGAAAAGAGACCCCAAAGCTCTCTTGTCCCTTCCTCTACATGAGGACATGGGGATAGGATGTCTATAAACCAGAAAGCAAACGCTCATCAGACACCAAATCTGCTGGTGCCTAGATATTAGACTTCCCAGCCTCCGGAACTGTGGAAAAATAAATTTCTACTGTGTAGCCCCCAGGCAATAGTATTTGGGTTATAGTAACCTCGATGGACTGAGACAGAAATAGTTCTTTTCACCGTCCTAAATTTACCTACCTTCCCCTCTGCACTCCCTCACCCGTGCCGTGTTCAGACAAACTAGTGATTTGTGAAAAGTTCAAAACTCTGTCTTCTCTCATGCATGTCTCTCGTGTTGCATCTTTCTAGGCAGAAGAATTCTCATCGTTTTAGCTCTCCTTATATCGCAGTTCCCAGTCCCTGTGATAATGTTGGTGGGCTTGCTAGTTCTGTTCAGTCGCCATTGTGCCCCCCTTGACAATGACCAAAATCTGTGCTACCTGGTGCTCCAGATTGAGCCTGTAGAACGTTTAGGAAGAGAGGATTTGTGTTCGGTTTGATTTAGTTTTTAGTCTTTCCCCATCTCAAGAAACATGGGTAGATGTAGTTTACCAAGTGAGGTTGGTAACTTTCATCTCTAGAGGTCTTGAAAGTTGAGTACACAATATTTCACCAAGGAAAACTTGTACAATAAGCTGGCTTTTCAATGGATTACATAGACTACCGGCCCTACAACTCAGACCCTAAAACAGAGCTATGTTAAGAAGGAGGCACTCACTTGCTTGGGGCACCAGCAGAAATCACAACAATACAGTTTGATGAGCAGCAGTGGCCACAAGACTGGGAAAGGTCAGTTTTCATTCAATCCCAAAGAAAGGCAATGCCAAAGAATGTTCAAACTACCGCATGATTGCACTCATCTCACACGCTAGCAAAGTAATGCTCAAAATTCTCCAAGCCAGGCTTCAACAGTACGTGAACCATGAACTTCCAGATGTTCAAGCTGGGTTTAAAAAGGCAGAGGAACCAGAGATCAAATTTCCAACATCTGTTGGATCATTGAAAAGGCAAGAGAGTTCCAGAAAAACATGTATTTCTGCTTTATTGACTAGGCCAAAGCCTTTGATTGTGTGGATCACAACAAACTGTGGAAAATTCTGAGACAGATGGGCATACCAGACCACCTGACCTGCCTCCTGAGAAATCTGTATGCAGGTCAGGAAGCAGCAGTTAGAACTGGTCATGGAACAATGGACTGGTTCCAGATTGGGAAAGGAGTACGTCAAGGCTGTATATTGTCACCCTGCTTATTTAACTTATATGCAGAGTATATCATGCAAAATGCTGGGCTGGATGAAGCACAAGCTGGAATCAAGATTGCTGGGGGAAATATCAATAACCTTAGATACATAGATGACACCACCCTTATGGCAGAAAACGAAGAAGAACTAAAGAGCCTCTTGATGAAAGTGAAAGAGGAGAGTGAAAAAGGTGGCTTAAAACTCAACATTCAGAAAACTAAGATCATGGCATCTGGTCCCATCACTTCATGGCAAATAGATTTGGAAACAATGAAAACAGTGACAGACTTTATTTTGGGGGGGCTCCAAAAACAGCAGACGGTGACTGAAGCCTTGAAATAAAAGATACTTGTTCCTTGGAAGAAAAGCTATGACTAACCTAGACAGCATATTAAAAAGCAAAGACATTACTTTGCCACCAAAGGTCCATATAGTCAAAGCTATGGTTTTTCCAGTAGTCATGTATGGATGTGAGAGTTGGACGATAAAGAAAGCTGAGCACTAAAGAATTGATGCTTTTTAACTGTGGTGTTGGAGAAGACTCTTGACAGTCCCTTGGACAGCAAGGAGATCCAAACAGTCCATCCTAAAGGAAATCAATCCTGAATATTCATTGGAAGTACTGATGTTAAAGTTGAAACTCCAGTACTTTGGCCACCTGATGCAAAGAGCTGACTCATTTGAAAAGACCCTGATGCTGGGAAAGATTGATGGTGGGAGGAGAAGGGGACGACAGAGGATGAGATGGTTGAACAGTATCACTGACTCAGTGGACATGTATTTGAGTAGGCTCTGGGAGCTGGTGATGGACAAGGAGGCCTGGTGTGCTGCAGTCCATGGGGTCACAACGAGTCAGACCCAACTGAGTGACTGAACTGAACTCCAAATTTCATAATCAGATCAAAGGGAAAAACCATTTAATGTTCTGCAGTTTATTACTGCTTCTATTTGGGCTACATGGGACTTCCCTGGTGGCTCAGTGGTAAAGAATCCACCTACCAATGCAGGAGATGCGGGTTCCATCCCTGGGTCAGGAAGATCCCCCAGAGAAGAAAATGGCAATCCATTCCAGTGTTCTTGCCTGGGGAATCCTATGGACAGAGGAGCCTGGTGGGCTACCCACCATGGGGTCACAAAGAGCGACCACTCAGTGGACTAAATCACCACCACCATTTGGGCTGCATCGGAGAGAGGGCAGCCTAACATCTCAGTGGTTTGGAGACTTGGCCTAAGAGCCAAAGGCAGACAGAGAAGGAACAGGAAACAGGCTCTGCTCTGTGACAGACTTGGTCCTTTCTGCTTGCCTTTGGCTCTCGTTTTCTCAGAGGGTAAATATATCTGAGTGGAAATTGTGAGCACAATGGTTCCACCTCTGGTTTTTGCTTCCATGGGTTCTGCTTCTGTGGGTTCCTCCCCCTCCGTAACCCGCTTCCAGTTTCCCTGGCATCCTCCTCCGCCTTTCTACAGACCAGCTGTAGTACATCATTTCATGTAAGGGCCTTGAGCATCTGTGAGTTTCGGTACTTGTGGAGGACCCTATAACTGAGATCCCCCGTGGATGGTAAGCGATGACTGAGTCTGACTTCTGTTCTCAGCAGAGTTCATGTGAGTAAAGCAGGCCCAGGTGGCCTCTGCTACCTCTAGCCTGTCACCACCCCCTCCTGTTTCCTCTACAAAGTCCCCCATCTCATGGTGTCCTCTCCTTCATTTCAGGGCCCCACCCCCAGACATCTTTCAGATCCATTAGTCATATTAGCATCAGTGGTTAATAAGCTAAAGGTCATCTCCCTCCCAGGATAATATCATATCAATATGGGTCAAAGTCTTAGTGAAAGAAGGAGTGTCTAACTGTGGAATTTTAATTATAAGCCAGTGGAGTAGAGAACCAGCCAGGGCAGGCTATCCCAGGGCTTCGAAACTCCCTTGATGTAGACCTGCATTGTCCAAAATAGAAGTCATAGCTGCATGGAATGACTAATATTTAATTAATTAAAAGTAAATATAAATAAAATTTTTAAAAAATTTCTAAAGGGCTTCGCTGGTAGTTCAATGGTGGAGAGTCCACCTGCTGATGCAGGAGATACAAGTCCAATCCCTGATCCAGGAAGATCCCACATCCCTCGAAGCAACTAAGCTGTTGAGCCTGTGCTCTAGAGCCCATGAGCTGCAGCTACTGAGCTCATGTGTCCCAAGTACTGAAGCCCGCCTACCCTAGAGCCTGTGCTCTGCATCAGGAGAAGCCACTGCAGTGAGAGGCCTGAGATCACAACTAGAGAGTGGTCCCCGCTGGTCACAACCAGAGAAAAGTCTGTGCGGCAGCAAAGACCCAGCACAGCCCAAACTTTATTAATTTAAAAAAATTGTAAGTAAAAATTCAGTTCCTTAGTCACACTGACCACATTTCAAGTGCTAAATAGCCTCATGTGCCTCCGACTAATATATTGGACAGCACAAGCACTAAACATTTCCATTATCACAGAAAGTTCCATCAGACAGTGCAAGTTTGGAGAATAACTTTATTGACTTGTGCAGACGTGATCTACCCTTACCCCAGCACTGGTTTTCTCAGCCTTGGCACCACTGACATTTTGGAATGGATCTTTCTTTGTTGTCAGGTTGGGGGTGGGGGGCGGGGGGCTTGTCCTATGCATTGTAGGGTGTTTAGAAGCATCTCTGATATCTATCCCGTGTCATTGTTGTTCAGTTGCTCAGTTGTGTCCAACTCTTTGCAACCCCATGGATTGCACACTAGGCCCTTCTGTCCTCCACTCTCTCCCTGAGCCTGCTCAAACCCATGTCCATTGAGTCCATAAGGCCATCCAACCATCTCATCCTCTGTTGTCCCCTTCTCCTCCTGCCGCTTAGTCTTTTCCAGTGAGCTGGCTCTTTGCATCAGGCAGCCAAAATATTGGAGCTTCAGTTTCTGCATTGGTCCTTCAAATGAATATTCAGGGTTGATTTCCTTTAGGATTGACTGGTTTGATCGCCTTACTGTTCAAGGGACTCTCAAGAGTCTTCTCCAGCATCACTATTTAAACGTATCAATTCTTGGGCACTCTGTCTTCTTTATCGACCAACTCTCACATCTATACGTGACTACTGGAAAGACCATAGCTTTGACTATACAGAGCTTTGTCAGCAAAGTGATGTCTCTGTTTTTTAATATGCTGTCTAGGTTTGTCATAGCTTTCCTTCCAAGGAGCAAGCATCTTTTAATTTCATGGCTGCATGCCAGTAACCCTTCCCATCCAGTTGTCATCATCAAAAATATCTTCAGGGACTTGCCCAGTGGTCATATGGTTGCAACTCCGAGCTTCCATTGCAGGAGGCATAGGTTTGATCTCAGGTCAGGAAACTAAAATCCTACATGCTGCTCAGTGTAGCCAAGAGAAAACAAAAAAAGAAAAGTCTCTAGACCTTACCAAGCATCCCCCATGGGACAAAACTGCTCCCAGCTGAGAAGCAATGCAGGAAAGCTGGCTGACATTTGGGGATCAGCGAGGCCATCTATCAGCACACTTGTGCACAAGATGGGTTAAGAGAGTTGTGAGTGCTTGGAGGATGGGGACTGTGCAGGGGGCAAGTCATGCATGTTCCAAGCACTCTTGAAACGTTACAGAGAAGAAGAATTTCAGAGTGACGTTTATAGCCAAGAAAGAGATTCTTCCCCTGGTCTTAGGAATTCCATTGATGCTGAATTGTCATGTGCGTCAGAGCTCTACAGAACTGCAGGGAGGGCTGTAAATCAAAGGAAGGCAAAGAGAAGGCCCAGGGGGCAGGTCGTGGGGTGAGTATGCTTATCCCAGGGAGTGGGGTTTGCCCCCACTTCACTCTGAGATTTTCAGCCTGGCGTGCTAAGCCCCCTGTCCCCGGAGTGGCCATTCATGCACTAAATGGCCATAACTGCCTCATCAGCAGCTTGTCAGCTGTAAATTCTAATCCCGGGCCAGGTCTCTCTTCCCAGGACCAAAGTCATAAAGATGTTTGCCCTTGCACAGGTCTTTGACATGTGCTAGGCCGCATCTGTTTATTTGTCTTAGGGCCCTCTCAAGAGCTTAGCACTTCTCTCTGACCCAGGCGAGGCTTTCTGGGCTCTGCATTCCTCCTGACCATGACATCATGCTTGTACCTCGCCATTGGAGATTGAATCCAAAGACCAGAGAGGACTTAAGAGTCTTAAACAAGCAAATGTTTTCCATTATTGAAGATGTTAAGGAAACCAAATTCTGAAATATTTACGGCCACAGCCTCCTCTGTGGGCCGTCAGTGACCTCTTCCCTTTCAGGAGGCATCTTACAGAGGGGGAGCTCTGGCCAGCTCCCCCTGAGGCCACTGAGACTGCAGAGCTGAGTCAACCATTCCATGGGAGGACTGGTGAAAAGTGTTTTTGCCACACAGGCCTAGCTGAGATGACCGAAACCAACCCAGGAGAGGTCCAAGTTTACCATAGAAGGCAAAGCAGAGACCCAGGACCGCCCTGTGGGCTGCATACCTGCATTCTAGAGTTAGCCCAAATTGTGCTTCTGTTTTGAGGGACAATGTCAATCATGTGATAAGTAAATGAACACCATCATTCAACAATTCTGTAAACATTGAGAGAAAAATACTTCGTGTACTTTAGACAGGGGTGGGGATGGGTTCCTCTGTGACTTCTGGCGTCACCTCTGCTCCTCCCTTTTTTCAGGGTCTATCAGACCTCAGTGGCTCCATGCAGAAGTTCTGCCCGATGCCCTGGCACCGTGGGAAGCGGTGCAGCGTGGTCTGAGTCCTCTTGTGTATGCCCAGTCATTCCGTCGTGTCCAACTCTTCGTGGCCCCGTGGACTGTAGCCTGCCAGGTGCCTCTGTCCATGGAACTTCCCAGGCAAGACTACTGGAGTGGGTTGCCATTTCCTCCTCTAGGGGATCTTCCCGACCCAGGGATAATGCCCGTCTCTTACATCTCCTGCATTGGCGGCTGGGTTCTTTACCACTAGAGCCACCTGGAAGACCTCGAACCCTCTTAATAGGATCTCAATAATTCTTTACAGGTAATAACTGAAAGCCCGTTCTGCTATGCAGTGTTTCTCGGTGGGGGTGCTTCTAACTTGTGGGATAGGATGACTCTTCATTACGCAAATGTCTCTGGCTCATAGCAGGGCATTTAGTACCCCCAACTTCTTGGCACAAGATGCTAGTGGCGTCTACCTCCCGCTGAAGTTTAGACAGCTAGGTAATGTCCTGGGACTGTGGTGACCACACTGCACCGGGACATGCCTATTGTCCCAGTACAGTTTTCAGCAGTAATATCTTTGCAGCCCCAGGGCATTTAGCCCACCATTCTCCTCTGTCCATGGAATTCTCCAGGCAAGAATACTGAAGTGGGTAGATTCCTTTCTCCAGGGGATCTACCCAACCCAGGGATCAAACCCAGGTCTCCTGCATTGCAGGCAGATGCTTTACCATCTGAGCCACCAAGGAAGGCCTCACCCCCAAAGGAGTCCCAATTTGGATAATAAATAACGTGATCACCTTTCCTCATACCCAAGTCCCTCTAACCATCAGTCTGTCACGTTTACCACTCCACAACCCTTCCCCTTTCTCTTTTTAATGATTCCCCAAATTTTCCCTCCTCTCTGAGTCCATTTCTCATGTTTTCATAACTTGGTCATCCTCGAAGTTTGGGTGGCTATAAATGACAACTCCAAGTCCAGACTGCCTGAACTATGGGGCCTTTGGCTCCTGAGTGGGCAAGGAAGCCAGACACCCCAGGAGAAGGACCAGTGGGGTCCAGGCAAGACCTCAGCCTTGACCAAAGGCTTGGAAAGCCCCCCATGTGTTCTGACATCCACAGTGAGCAAGGCTGGAGGTGGATGGGTGGCAGGAAGTCTGGTGAACGTCTGTGATATATTTTTTTTTAATGAATCCAATATGAACTGAAAAGAAATACAGTGTGAAACACCACCCATTAGGTTGTGAAAGTCCAGTATGTCCAGATGACTCAAGTGTGGTGCTCATACTCCGTGGTAATGCTTTGAAATCCTTTGTGAACAATAAAAGTTAAGTATAAGCAAGAAAGTGTTTCTCATAACAAAATAAAATTCCCTTTCCTTGTCTGCCCCACGGGGCCAGAAATACCAGTGCCTGTAATTGGTATATCAGTACCACCCTCAAGAATTTCTTAAATGTCGTAAACACACAGTGCAGTTTTGGTGGAGGCCCCCAGCAGGCTGTAATCCTGAGCTGTGAGGAGCCTGGTTCTGCAGCTGTGCTTGCTTTCCGTATCGCTGTTAAATCTGCAACAGAACCAAATACCTGTGCAACGAGACCTTCCCACACCAGAGCTCAACAGACTTGGGAAACACTGGTTAAAATGAAAGCTGGCTCCACGGAGAGCTGGGAGATGAAAATGGCTTCTTTTTTAATGTAAGGAATTTTGCTCTTCTATTTAATTAAGAGGCCATTGCACAGACAAGTCTGCCTTCTAACGAGCTCTCTTCCTGACAACCTAGGAAAATACCTAGGTTGTTTACTAGTAAACTTCGTTTACTCCATGGGCAACAACACGGGCTCTGTTCTGCAGCTCGGGGAGCTGTGTGATCTTAGGCGAGATCTTACCTAAACTTCCTTGGCCTCAGTTTCCCCAGCTGTGAAACAAGGATACTCGTGCCCACCTTATAGATACCAATGTGCCATCGTGAAGAGAGACAGCCATTCTGCATGTAGAGTGCTCAGCGTCCTGCTGAGTCAGTCATTCACACAGTCGTGTCCAACTCTTTGCGACCCATGGACTGTAGCCCGCCAGGCTCCTCTGTCCATGGGATTTTCCAAGTAAGAATACTGGAGTGGGTTGCCATGCCCTCCTCCAGAGGTTCTTCCCCTATCCAGGGATCGAACTCACGTTTCCTGCTGTGTTTTGAAGCCTTCTCCAGGCAGAGAAGGTGAAAAGACGTCCCAAGATTGCTCAGGATAGGTAACCACATACCTGGATGAACGGAAAAAGATGACAAAATTTTTGCTTTGGCACTAGCCTGATTTTTACAGAATAGATTATGACTAGTTTTTTTTTAATATTCATTTATGTATAATTTTTGGCTGTGCTGGGTCTCTGTCGCTGGGCGGGCTTTCCTCTGGTTGTGGCGAGCGGGGGCTGCCCTCGTCGTGGCTGCAGGCTGCTCACTGCCACGGCTCCTCCTGCTGCGGATCACAGGCTCTGGAGCACGAGCGCTTCCGCAGTCACGGCTGCCGGCTCCAGAATGCGAGCTCAGCGGTCACGGTCCACGGGTCTAGCTGCCCTGAGGACTAGCACATTGGTATCTATAAGGCGGGCACTAGTATCCTTTCACAACTGGGAAAACTAGCTGCTTCCCAGACCAGGGATGGAATCCGAGTCTCCTGGAATGGCAAGTGGGTTCTTTACCTCTGCGCCACCAGGGAAGCCTCAACTATGACTAATTTTAAAAGATAAAGCCTGCTGTTTATAAGTTTTTCTCCTCCTTGCCCTCAGCCAAGCAAGCAGAGCTGGGGACACTGTGACATCAAGTCTCATTGGGTAAATAAAGCACATTTCCCTGAGATTCAGGTCATTGGGTCTTCTCTGCCTGGGGTCTTGGCCCAGATCTGTCGAGAACAGCACTGCTTACAATCGAGCGATTCCCGATGGAGCCCGCTCTCCAAAGGCCTCTCCAGGTTCCCTCTGACCTGAACGGGAAGATAGCTGCTTAAAAAGTCTCAGTGTAAACCTTAAGACTCAGTGTTTCCGGAAGAGTGCTTTGGGAAGGTCCGCAGCGTTGGGATCACAAAGAGGTAGACAAAACTTCACGATTGAACAACAGTGTTGGGCTTCCTACCCCACATCTTAATTGCCGAAAATGCTGGCCTTGTCAGAGACATATCACAGAACTGAGAAGGACAGATGAGTTCACCCACAGACCTTCAGAAGCTTCAGCTGGCTGGGGCCCGGATTTTCAGAGATATGGACGTGATGTTTCCAGTTGAATGAAAGTGATCATTGCAGAAATCTCCCCAGGAAAACTAGAAGGAGTGAGGAAGCGGGGCCTTGAAGGTGAAGTGCAAGGAAGGGTACACTGCCAGGAGTGAAGCCGGAGAGAGGGTGACGGGGATCAAACCCATGGGGGGCTGCTCCTGCTGCAGCCAGGGCTGGAGGGGAACACCGGAGCTGCAGTGATTCTGTCTCCTCCTCCATCGTCCCTGGTTCAGCGCCGCTCCCGGGGGACTTCAGATCCTGGGCACTGCCTGTGCGCACAGACAGATGGATTCCTACAGCCAGAAGGCCGTCCACTGTCTCTGTAGGAAGAAAAGTGTACAGGCGGGGCCTAGGGCAAAATGAAAATGGGGGGGCCTTTTTTTAAAAAAGCAGGGGAAGAGGTGTCATTAGAGGTACTAAAATAAAAGCTTCTCCTTTCTTCCACAGTCTCTCTCTTCACTTGTCATGTTTTTATTTTTAAAATGCCGCTATTGAATGCCACTCTGAGTAAAGGAAAATTTAAATTTTAAATTGTTAGCATAAATTCTACCCCTTTCATTTCAATATTGTGCAGTGCCTGTTTTAAATGCAAATAGAAGAGCATTTAACACGTATGCTAATCAACAAAATTACACAATTTGCATATTCCATTCTTACCATAGCAGTGGCAAGACTGCACAAAATTAAGTCACCTGCTTTTATTTCATGTCTTGACACGCGTTCATGGTACCAGCAGCGTCTCTACCTTTTGCTTACTGATGAGTAAGAAGGGATTGAAAGGGAAGAGATGCTGGGTGGCCATCTTGCTACCTTAGGCCGTGATTTCTGGTGCGCTGATGGAGAGGGGTGAAGAGGAAAGAGGAAAAGAGAGGAAAAGGGTTGAGAGAGATTTAAAGCCTCTGGGGTCCCTCTCACATCCCTGGAGGCTCGGCCAGATGTCTGTTGTTGTTGGTTAGTTTTAACCCACGTCCGATTCTTTTGCAACTCCATGTAGCCCACCAGGCTCCTCTGTCCATGCGATTTCCCAGGCAAGAATACTGGA